TTGAAGGGTGGCCTGGGGGAGATTAAGCTGAATAGTAGGGGTACTACTCACAATCTAAGTTGGAAAGAACGCGTTTTGCGTTTAGTACGCTTTCGTATAAACGCTAGCGTCTAAACGCAAAACGCTGGCCGTGAGGGGTCTGGTACGCACAAGAATCCGCTTGCCCGGGCAGGAAAAAACTTTTCCCCGGGCAGAACGCTGGCCTGTAGGGGGTCTGGTACGCACAGAATTCGCTGGCCCGAGATGAAAACGGGAGCTGCTGTAGTACTGGAGGTCATCGTCGCGGGTGAGATAAGAAGGGAAGAAAACGAACGCAGAGCATCGAAGGAAAAATTGACCTAACATTGAAGTGTCTACGACAAAGCTGGAAGGGATTGATGGGGATGGAGTGGGTTATTGAGCGGTGGATAGGAGGGGATGATTCACAAACAATTTCGAAATTCAGGTCTGAGGTTGCATTCGCAATGTGCGAACTCAGATCTGAACTTCGAGCCTCCAATTTTGAGTTTGCCGCCGGATTGCGAACTCAATTTTTTTTTCGGTCAGCCCGAGCAAACTTTGGCGAATTTCAACATAATACGCAGCGTACGAATTCCAGATGCGTATAAACTCAATACGCAATTTCGAATCTGCGTTTTTTCCAACTTAGCTCACAATGTACATCAAAGGTGTGCTTTCAACCCCTTCAAGTCGAAATTCGTTTCCCCCCTCCCCCGCAATTTCGTTTCCCCCCTCCCCCGCAATTTCGTTTCCCCACGCCCCCGCAATTTCATTTCCCCCTCCCCGTCGAAATTCGTTTCCCCCCTCCCCCGCAATTTTGTTTCCCCCCTCCCCCGCAATTTCGTTTCCCCCCCCTCCCGCCATTCGGTTTCACCCACTCCCGCCATTTCACCCCCTCCCGCCACCTACGAAATGCCCGAAGCTCTAGCGGAATCATTTTTTTGTCGCCCCTCGTGAGCCAATCACTGTTTTTCTCCAAACCCCCTTCCCAACATCTCAAGCCGAACCGCGTTGAATGTGCACCCTGGTTTTAAAGCCAGGGTCTCAAGTAGACCAAGTGCTTTGCAGTCGATGAAAATGGGCCTGTCTGATTGGTTTACAAATTTGGGGCCAAAGTTTTGACAAATCGAGACTCTCCAAAGAACCCACTTTTCGCCCAAGTGCTTTGCAGTTGCACAGCCAACCCGTACATGAGACCCTGGCTTTAAGAGAGTAGGGATATCACTCACAATGTACTTAAGGTAGTAAGGATCATCCTCTGCTGCTGATCTCCGCATGGCCAGAAGCCCCTGAAGAGTCGCCTGGGGAAGCTGATGCTCCAGCAGACTGCGCTTGTACGTGCTGGAAGGTAGTTGATGGGGAAGGAAAGGCATGTGTGTGTGTGAGAGAGACAGAGAGAGAAAGAGTGGAGGGAACAGAGGGAGCGGAAAGAGACGCCCGTGAAGGGTCTCCTGGGGGAGCTGATGCTCCAGCAGACTGCGCTTGTACGTGCTGGAAGATGGGGAAGGGCGAGGTCAGGGAGAGAGAGGGAACGGATTAACGAAGCAGAGGGAAAGTTCTGAAGAGTCGCCTGGGGGAGCTGATGCTCCAGCAGACTGAGCTTTTACGTGCTGGTACGATGAGAAGGGAAGGTATTTATAAGAAAGGTGGACGGGAAGGGAGAGAATCAGATGGGGTTCGAGGAGGAAGGAAGGCGGGAAGAGAAACCGAGGGGTCGGATGGAGGAAGGAAGTGCACTGAAGATAAACAGAGGGGTCGGATGGAGGAAGGAAATGCACTGAAGATAAACAGAGGGGTCGGATGGAGGAAGGGAGTGCACTGAAGATAAACAGAGGGGTCGGATGGAGGAAGGGAGTGCACTGAAGATAAACAGAGGGGTCGGATGGAGGAAGGGAGTGCACGAAAGATTTTGACTCCAGGAGCTGATGCTCGAAAAGTATCCGCTTGTAGGTACTGCGGGCGAGACGAAAAGGGGTTAAAGGGGGGAGAGAATCACACGAAGAAAGGGAAGGGGTGAAGGGCAGACGGAGATGCTGTGAAGAGTGAGCTGAGGAGGGATAGAGGAGGGAGAGGAAGGAGTGGAAGGAGAGGAAGGGAGAAGGCTAAAGCAGGGGACCAGGGGAGGCAAGGCGGGGGAGAAGGGGGGAGCGAAGGGTACGTACTCTGTGCTCTGTAAGGCTTCGTTTGGAAACCTACGAGCGTCCCTCGGCAGCCTTTGAGGCACCTAAAATATCGTCCCACGTTTTGAAGTGCTTCATATAGAGAGAAGGATACATACTCTACTCTGTAGGGCTTTGTTTGGATCCCTACGAGCGTCCCTCAGCTGCCGTACAAAGGGGTCAGAGGAGAAGGAAGCGAGAAGACTAAAGCAGGGGAGGAAAGGGAGGAGAGGGGGAGGGGGAGAGAAGGATACGTACTCTGTGCTCTCTAGGGCTTCGTTTGGATCCCTACGAGCGTCCCTCAGCTGCCATGAGGAAGGGGGCAGAGGAGAGGGAAGGGAAAGAAGTTCAGGGAAGGAGAGACAGGAGGAAGAGACGAAAGTATGGAAGGAGGTGAAAGCAGATCGAGTAAGAGAGAAATAAATCTCTTGGCCACATGGCACAAGCAGAGTAACAACGCTCTGCCGAGTCCATGTAGTTGGATGCGCTGACACATGGACATGGACTAGACAGGCAACTTCCGAGAATTATTAAAAGCGACACCACATGGACCTCCAAACTAAGGTACACACTACACGCATGCTTTGATTCTTCTTCTTAGCAAGGAGAGCATGAAGGTGAGAATGGTTTTTGAGAATTCTCAAAAACCTACACGCATGCTTTCATTCTTCTTCTTAGCAAGGAGAGCATGAAGGTGAGAATGCTCTAGCTGGCTTGAAAACAAGAGGAAAACAGGAGGAGGTGAATCCGCATGCATGATAACCAAGCATGCCTCCTGTATGAAAACAGGGTATCTTTAGAGTAGTAAACACGCTAAGAAACACGCATAGCTTTAGAGTAGTAATAAACACGCTAAGAAACACGCATAGCTTTAGAGTAGTAATAAACACGCTAAGAAACACGCATAGCTTTAGAGTAGTAATAAACACGCTAAGAAACACGCATAGCTTTAGAGTAGTAATAAACACGCTAAGAAACACGCATAGCTTTAGAGTAGTAATAAACACGCTAAGAAACACGCATAGCTTTAGAGTAGTAATAAACACGCTAAGAAACACGCATAGCTTTAGAGTAGTAATAAACACGCTAAGAAACACGCATAGCTTTAGAGTAGTAATAAACACGCTAAGAAACACGCATAGCTTTAGAGTAGTAATAAACACGCTAAGAAACACGCATAGCTTTAGAGTAGTAATAAACACGCTAAGAAACACGCATAGCTTTAGAGTAGTAATAAACACGCTAAGAAACACGCATAGCTTTAGAGTAGTAATAAACACGCTAAGAAACACGCATAGCTTTAGAGTAGTAATAAACACGCTAAGAAACACGCATAGCTTTAGAGTAGTAATAAACACGCTAAGAAACACGCATAGCTTTAGAGTAGTAATAAACACGCTAAGAAACACGCATAGCTTTAGAGTAGTAATAAACACGCTAAGAAACACGCATAGCTTTAGAGTAGTAATAAACACGCTAAGAAACACGCATAGCTTTAGAGTAGTAATAAACACGCTAAGAAACACGCATAGCTTTAGAGTAGTAATAAACACGCTAAGAAACACGCATAGCTTTAGAGTAGTAATAAACACGCTAAGAAACACGCATAGCTTTAGAGTAGTAATAAACACGCTAAGAAACACGCATAGCTTTAGAGTAGTAATAAACACGCTAAGAAACACGCATAGCTTTAGAGTAGTAATAAACACGCTAAGAAACACGCATAGCTTTAGAGTAGTAATAAACACGCTAAGAAACACGCATAGCTTTAGAGTAGTAATAAACACGCTAAGAAACACGCATAGCTTTAGAGTAGTAATAAACACGCTAAGAAACACGCATAGCTTTAGAGTAGTAATAAACACGCTAAGAAACACGCATAGCTTTAGAGTAGTAATAAACACGCTAAGAAACACGCATAGCTTTAGAGTAGTAATAAACACGCTAAGAAACACGCATAGCTTTAGAGTAGTAATAAACACGCTAAGAAACACGCATAGCTTTAGAGTAGTAATAAACACGCTAAGAAACACGCATAGCTTTAGAGTAGTAATAAACACGCTAAGAAACACGCATAGCTTTAGAGTAGTAATAAACACGCTAAGAAACACGCATAGCTTTAGAGTAGTAATAAACACGCTAAGAAACACGCATAGCTTTAGAGTAGTAATAAACACGCTAAGAAACACGCATAGCTTTAGAGTAGTAATAAACACGCTAAGAAACACGCATAGCTTTAGAGTAGTAATAAACACGCTAAGAAACACGCATAGCTTTAGAGTAGTAATAAACACGCTAAGAAACACGCATAGCTTTAGAGTAGTAATAAACACGCTAAGAAACACGCATAGCTTTAGAGTAGTAATAAACACGCTAAGAAACACGCATAGCTTTAGAGTAGTAATAAACACGCTAAGAAACACGCATAGCTTTAGAGTAGTAATAAACACGCTAAGAAACACGCATAGCTTTAGAGTAGTAATAAACACGCTAAGAAACACGCATAGCTTTAGAGTAGTAATAAACACGCTAAGAAACACGCATAGCTTTAGAGTAGTAATAAACACGCTAAGAAACACGCATAGCTTTAGAGTAGTAATAAACACGCTAAGAAACACGCATAGCTTTAGAGTAGTAATAAACACGCTAAGAAACACGCATAGCTTTAGAGTAGTAATAAACACGCTAAGAAACACGCATAGCTTTAGAGTAGTAATAAACACGCTAAGAAACACGCATAGCTTTAGAGTAGTAATAAACACGCTAAGAAACACGCATAGCTTTAGAGTAGTAATAAACACGCTAAGAAACACGCATAGCTTTAGAGTAGTAATAAACACGCTAAGAAACACGCATAGCTTTAGAGTAGTAATAAACACGCTAAGAAACACGCATAGCTTTAGAGTAGTAATAAACACGCTAAGAAACACGCATAGCTTTAGAGTAGTAATAAACACGCTAAGAAAGGAGAAGCTACATGAATGAAGGGCAAGCATAGCTCCTGTATCAAAGCGTTTCAGCTCTTGACATAGCCACCCTAAAAACATACCCTGAAAAGGGGGGTATTTGTTGGAAGTCTGGAAAATGGTGAAGCTACATGCGTGAATGCGGAAAAAACATACCTCCTGTATAAAAGCGGTTGAGCTCTTGACATAGCCACCCTGGAAAATTGCAGCACACAAGGGATTGCGACAAGCGAGGGTGGTGGGGTTTGGGGGAGTGGGGGAACGAGGGGGGGGTTGAGCTCTTAACATAGCCACCCTGGAAAATTTGCAGCACACAAGGGATTGCAGCACACAAGGGATTGCACCAAGAAAGGGTGGGGTGTCGGGGACGGGGGGGGAAAGGAAGGTGAGTGATTTGAGAGGTCTCTGAAGTGTTTGAGCTTTTGACACGGCCACCCTGAAAAGAGAGCAGCACGCAGATTGTCTTATACGAGAGCGGGGTATGCATCTTGGGGCAAGCAGAACAAGTTACACTCTCGACCTTACATAGTCCCCTGTCCCACTTACCCCCCTACTCATAACCCTGGAGAGACCAGGGTGACGAGGCAGGGAGTGAGGGGAGGTTGATGGATGGACGGTGCCATTACCTATCCTACCCTCCCCTTCTCTCCCACTCCTGCAATTCCCTTCACCCGACCAACTTCCCCCAACTGCACCCAACTCCCCCCAACTCCCCCCAACTCCTCACCCTGGAGAGCACAGACAGTTTCAGCTGAACGTCTGATGTGACCACGGTGATGTACGGTGCAGTGCGGTGCTGCATGAGACTGGACACCTGGCGAAGTGAGGGAGGGGGAGGAGAACAAGAAAAGGTGGCGACAGGGAAGGTAAAGTGAGGAAGAAAGGGCAACAAAGGAGTTGGATGTAAGAGTATGCAGAAAGTTTCAGCCAAACGGCAGGGACTTTGCCAAGGTGTGAAATCTGCTGATGCCGAGAGGGTTTGCTGGGTATGGCTTGCGCCATGCCATGCCATGCCGTGCTATGCCATGCCATGCCATGCCATGCCATGCCATGCCATGCCATGCCATGCCATGCCATGCCATGCCATGCCATGCCATGCCAAGCCATGACATGCCGTAATGTAGAGTAAGTTCACTTACCCGTTCAATCTAAACCACATCAACTTCCTTTGAGACGGTTATGGAGAGGCCCAAAAAAAATCAGCTGATGCGGATCTGTGCAATGACAACAACTCACAGCCGCTTTTTCCGCCTAGTTTCTCTATGTATGCTCTCAACTCAACACACGATACCATTCATACAGTGTGTGCAACGGGTTTTTTTTTATTGTTCATCCAATAGTGGTGTACTGACTGACCTCCTTCTCAATCCATTCGTCTGCTGAGATGCCATTGGAGAATGCCACGTCCACACTGCCACCTCAGCACAAGGAGAAAGACACATCAGCACATGGAAACTGAAACTGGATGAGGAAAGGTTTTGTCGCACAAACGACAGACGAATGAGTCGCATGGATTAGGGCATGTAATGCCATGGCTGCGTGTTTGAGGCGAACCAGGATATATGTGGTGAGGGGAACATGCAAGGGAAGGTGGCTGAATATACATGGGGTGGTGGGATAGACCTTGAGGGTACATACGTTGGGCATGTACGTTTCATAAGGGATACGGAAACGGAAATACATAACATACCCAAGCAAGATGCGGTCGTTAACAGAGCTGTTAGAAAACATACTCATACCATACAGGATACAGAGACGTGCATACCCAATGTTTGAACCGAAAGCGTATTACCCAAGGTATGCACCCAGTGTATATACCCAACGTACATACCCGTACGACAAGATGCGGTCGTTACCAGGGCTGCTGGAGTTGTACTCATTAGGAAACATACTCATATGTAAATACCCAACGTATGAACCTAACATAGATACCCAACGTCAATACATAGTACATATACATACCCGTACGACAAGATGCGGTCGTTACCAGGACTGCTGGAGTTGTACCCATCAAAAACCACCAGCACCCGCACATCTGCACAGGTTAGGACGCGGAGGAGAGTGCGTGGCTAGAAAGTATGTGAGAATCGATTCAAATCAAAGCCACAGAAATGTTGGAATCGTACCCATAAAAAACCACCAGCACCCCACATCTGCATAGGTTGGGTGGGATGTGAAGGAGAGAGGGTGGCTCGAAAGCATGTGAGATTTGAGTAGACTAAGTAGGCAGATGACTGCTACGTTTTATTACGGCCATCAAGAACCACCAGCATTCGCACATCTGCATGTATTAGGATGTGAATGAGGAAGGTTGATTCAAAAGTCAGTCAGTGGACTCTGAGTCGACTCAAAGGTCCGAGAGGTGTTGGATATTTACGCCCATTAAAAACCGCCACACACCCACGGAAACGGGCCTATCAACTTGGGGGTATAACAGCACTCCCATCTCTCTCGCCTCCTCTGATCCCCCTCACAAAATCATCCTTTTCCTCATGTTTCTCATCAGTGAACTCGAAGCAGCACCCGCTTGCAGCAAACAGCACTAGTAGTAGTACCTACCAGCATATCGGGAGTATGGCAGCACTTCCAGCAACAGAATTTCTCTCGCCTCATCAGAATTCCCTCACAAATCATCCTTTTCGTCAGGTTCCTCATCAGTGAACTTGAAGCAGCACTCCTTGCAGAAGCACCAGCAGCACCTACCAGCGTATCAGGGGTATGGCAGCACTTCCAGCAGCAGTGTCCCTTCCTCGCCTCTTCTGAGTAGCCTCACAGAAACGGCACTTACTCAGGCGCGCGCTTCTGATATTTACCCCAAGCAACATCAACCCGCAAAAGCACCTACCAGCGCATCGGGGGTATGGCAGCACTTCCAGCAGCAGCCTCTCTCTAGACTCCTCTGCATTCTCTGACTTCTCTCTACTTTTCCTCAGGTGACAAGCAACACCCAGCAGCAGCAGCAGCAGCAGCAGCAGCAGCAGCAGCAGCAGCAGCAGCAGCAGCAGCAGCAGCAGCAGCAGCAGCAGCAGCAGCAGCAGCAGCAGCAGCAGCAGCAGCGGCGGCAGTAGCAGCACCTACCAGCGTATCGAGGGTACGGCAGCACTTCCAGCAGCAGCCTCTCTCTCGCCTCCTCTAAGTCGCCTCGCAGAAACGGCTTCTTCAGCTTGGGCCAGCTGCCCACCACATTGTAGCCGTCCACTAGCACTAACGGTAAGGAGTCTGGGGAGCTGGAAGTGGGAGAAAGTGACAGGCAGGGCGGCATAAGGAAGGGGTTATAAAACTGCTACTTCAGCTTAGGCCAGCTGCCCACCACGTTGTAGCCGTCCACTAGCACTAACGGTAACGCGTCTGGGGAGCTGGATGGGGGAGGACGGAAGAGGGGGAGGCGGAGGAGAGCTGAAAGGCATGACATGGCCTGGCACTGCCCTTCAGCTTGGGCCAGCAGCCCACCAGGTTGTAACTGTCCACTAGAACTAACAGTAACGCATCTGGGGAGCTGGGGAGAGAAAGTGACAGGCAGGGCAGCATAAGAAAGGGGTTATAGAACGGCTTCTTCAGCTTAGGCCAGCTGCCCACCACGTTGTAACTGTCCACGAGCACTAAAGGTAACGCGTCTGGGGAGCTGAAGAGGGTAGGACGGAAGAGGGGGAGTGGGAGGAGGGTCGTGAGGTATGGCCTGGCACTGCCATGCGATGTAGCTTGGGCCAGCCGACAGCTGCCATGCCCAGTGCCCACTACGTTGTGGCAATCAACCCGCAGCAGCAGAACCTTTCAAATCGACTCAAAGGTCACTGGCCTTCTGCTTGGCCGGCTGTCATGCGCTGCGCAGTGCCCAGTGCCCACCACGTTGTGGCAATCCACCAGCAGCAGCAGCAGCAGCAGCAGCAGCAGCAGCAGCAGCAGCAGCAGCAGCAGCAGCAGCAGCAGCAGCAGCAGCAGCAGCAGCAGCAGCAGAAGCAGCAGCAGAAGCAGAGGAAACGCGTCTGTGGAGCTGAGAAGGCAAGGAACAGCTTCAACACGGTATGCGGGGGTATGCAATGCACCAGCTTTTCCTGCTTCGGCCGGTGAGCTGCCAAGCGCGTTGGAACCCTGAGAAAAAAAAAAAAAAAAAAAAAAAAAAAAAAAAAAAAAAAAAAAACTCCCCCACACCGCAAATTCACAGTTACTTTATGATGACTCATCTCTGAACTGAAGCTTGTTCTGTTAGACACAAACGCTCGCAGCTTCGCCAGTTTCTAACAACCCTTTCCAGGGATCGTAAAATACTACCTGGTGTGTGTAGCTGAATGAAACTCGAAAAGACTCTTAAACTACGCCAGTCCATCCATCAATGTTCTCCCGATGTCCAGGGAATTTTCACCCCATGTTCACCCCGACGCACTCACTCACATGTTCTCGAAATCAGAGTATTCTCCCCTGATGTCGTAGAAATCAACTGGGTGTGAAGATGCGCCGGCCAGATCCGCAACCCCACTCCCTGCTACCGCTCGCCTCTCCGACTTCGGCAATTTCTTCCGCCTGAACCTGCTCGGAACCTTCTCGTCCCCATCCTTGCGCTCCGCTGCAAAGGCCTGGAGGATGTTTGGGGATGGAGACGAAACCAGAGGTCGTCGGCATGGGTGGAGATTTCTTCTCCGCTCCACTGCGAATGGCTACAAGGTTGGAGGGGCGAGACGGGGGCGTGAGGCATCTCAAGGCCTGAGAGAGTGGGAAATGTGGATCAGAGGTCAGCGAGTGGAGCTATTGGGAGGGGAAGAACAAATGTTTTCCGCCTGAAGCTGCTTGGGACCTGCAAAGGCCTGGAGGATGTGGGGGGGGGGGTTGGAGATGAAACCAGAGGCCGATGGAATGGCATGGGGAGGGGTGCGTGCGAAGGTACACGAGCAAATTGTTTTTCATGACCGGAAGGTGTGGGGCTAGCGGAGAGAGAGCTGGGATCGTGGGAGGGAAAGGGCAGTGGGGGAGGTGGGCCAATATCTGAACCATTTTAACCCCACACGGTGGTCTTTTCACCCCAGTTTCATATACGTTTCGTCTAGAAATTCTTCTAGCGTAGATACCCGCTCAACCAAACTCACCACCCGCATCACCTTTTAGGTTCATTCGATCCCCCTTACAAGACGCACCTTCCAGAATTTGTCTGTCCGTTTGCTTGCTCTAAGTATGTCTTCGTCTTCGTCGCTTCCGTAGTACTTGGTCAGATACTCTTCCATCAGCGGATCCTCACTACTACTAGTACTATCTTTCTCTGTTGTCTGACGTGAGGTCGCGCGAGAATTTACCTGAAAGGCAGGAAAAGAACGACGAGGAGCGGATTTAGAGTCAGAGAAAAAAATTCTGGATCATTGCTCGCAGGTGGCAACATAAAGCACGGGAGGAGATGAAGATACCTGCGCTACGGGCTCTCTGTTGACAGGGGTCACGCCTTTGAGAACAGAAAACGGCGAATTCGCCGCGATATTCTTCTCTGTACCGTCGTTTCTTCCGTTATTCGCGCTCAGTGTGGGGTCGCTTCCGAAATGAGAGCCATGATGCTTTTGTGAGCCGTTTTTCTGCTTCCGCGGACCAGCTCGGACTTGAAAACTATGACCATTAGAGATCGGTTGTCGGGAACGACAGTGACTCTTATTGGCGTGTCGAATGTCCTTCAAACCAAGGAATTCCTGCCTGCTGTGCAGTTCAGGTAGGGCCTTCAGACCCATGAGCGAGTGTGTACCGTGAAACTCTACTGAGGATAACTATGGCTTGCTTATACTCTATAGTTCTCTTTTGTCTATTTGTTAGCAACCGCTGCCGAAGCAAGTAACGGAGTTGCACTGTCAGCAATTAAGGTAAACAGGATTCCTGAATTCATAGTTGACGAGAAAAAAGGGGCGAGGAAGAGCTAAAATGATGACCCATTCACACGTCGGTTAATTCATTGTCTGCAAATTCGCACTTATGGCTGACAGTGATCAAAGCAGAGTTGATTGAGAACGATGTGTACGAACTTCTGAAGTCGCCGCCATTGTTGTCATTTCAAGCGTCAACTGCCATTTTCACATGCACGAATGAGGCCGTTGCTTACTTCTGGTCAAAACCCTACCTAACCGCTCTGAATTAACAGTTACCGTATTGCAGCGCAAAACAACTTGCTCGAATTGCTTTAGTCAATGACAGTCGGAGCCAGTACCAGTACGCTGGTGTTTCTGTTGCTCCCCCAAATCAACCAACCCCGCAGCAGGAGGATGACTGGCGGGAGAATCAATTTCCCACGTCGGAACTGATACACGACTGGTGGAGCCTTGAAACCTCCACCTCCGATTTGGGAATGCGGCCAATGCATCGCCAGATTGAACAGCAACATCAAGGTGATGTTGACACGGACAGGTCCCTGATTGGAGGCACGTGGCAAAATTTGGGACCAACAGTTGCATGTACTCTATAGTAATTGATCCATGTTATTCCTGCTGCATGTTCTTATTTTTCGACGATACACTAGTGATGACGGATAGTGCGGCAAAACCAGTTGGTTGCTTCATGAAGACTTGTAACAAGATTCGCGCAAAAAACACGTGGCGATTGCTGACAGGGTTCAGAACTGATGGTCCATGAGTTCTGATGTAAATCCGTCGGTGCTCACCGGTTGGCTGTTGGGATCGATGGCAAGCCGCAAGCGGAAGTTGTCTTTCACCGGAAGCTGTTGGAATTGCGGCTTGCCATCGGTCGTCGGAACCGATTTGCCTGGGTCGTCAGAGGGGGTCGTCGGAGCCGGGCCTGACGAGGCGGGCAACTGACGCGCGTGCGGGCCCGCCAGCCTCGCCCAGGGCTGGGCCGAGCGCACGACCGCCGCCCCGCAACCTCCCCGCGTAATCGAACAGCGACCCACGTTACCTGGTGGGGGCGGCGAGATGGCGACCCCTCGCGCGAGGGAAAGTAACCCTATCGCGAAGGCAGCCCACCCGTCCCTCCTGCCCGCGACGTCCTAGTAACCCATCGCGGCCTGCCCGGAAGGGCAGGCGAGGGCCATGCGAAATTCGGGTGCTCCCCTCGGGACGCTCGACAATTTCACGACCCTTTGCGGTGACGCCACGTGTTCGCACGCGGGCTCGCATCGGGTGCATGCGAAATTTCGAACCCGACGAAATTGGAATGCTCGCATCGCGACGCACGGTTTTCGCGATCCGCTGCGAAATCGACACGTGTCGGCCGAAACGAGGCACCGCGCGCATGCGAAATTGCGTCCCCTCGCCAAGCGAAGCCAGGGGACGCGATGTCGACGTGCTGGCACAGCGGCGAAGGAGCACTCGTGCCACTTGTGCATGCAGCCCGCCAAACCCTGCCGAGCCAGGCACCACGAGCCCTGGGCGATGCCTCAACCGGCCTGTGGGGCACCGACCCCCTTTTCTTGGTGGAAGGAGGCATCGCTCCTCATTTTCGGCATCTCGTTTCTCTTTCCATTTTTTTCCCAGCTCTGCGCCTTCCTTACTCCCACGTTCTCGTCCCTTAGCCTGTAGCCAATTCCCTTCCCCGCCATGGCGGCCGACCCGAAAGCCGGCGAAGCGGCGCCGACTTCGCAGGACTTCCCTCTGTATCTCGACCTGGGTAGAGGGCTCACTTCCAAGTTCGAGGAGCACGACTACGCTGTCCTCGTAGACCATAGGCTAGAGTTCAACGCCCGTTGCTTGGGATTCGGCCTCAAGTGAGTCTCCGTATGGTGATGTCGGCGTCGACCTCTGGTGTCCTTGCTGGTCGACGCAGCATCGGTGTTAGGGTTGTCCCACGTCTAGGGTGGCGCTACGAGGTTAGGGTTTAGTTCACTTCAGGTTGACGCCGACTTTACGATTCCGGCTTACCTTGAACCCCGATTTCACCGGTAGTCGGCACAGGGTTGCACCTCCTCACTCCCTTCTAATACCCATGTCGCGTGCAGGCACGCATGGACTCGCGCGGCGCAGACCAAGATGCGATTGTGGTCGATAGGACTCGGCCGGCTTCGGGCGGCGATGGGTCAGGGCGGCGATGGGTCAGGGCGACCACACATGTTTTGCGACAGTTTTCGACGCCGACGTAGCGGTTATCCCCCTGCATTCGAGGTGAGCTGGTTCGAAGTCGTCACGTTGTGCCATGCATCCTATGTCGGTGCTCTGTTCTGAACGACGTCGTCGTGCCTTGCCTGTGCAGCATCGCACCGCTTCCAGGAGCACAATGCAGCATCGTTGTCATCATTTACCCCAGCGACTTGTTGAAGGCCGGGGGGGAGAAGATCAGGACGTCGATCCAGCACGTGGACCCGCAGACCGTGAAGCAGTGGCACCGCGACGAGGCAATCCGCGTGCTGAAGTGAGCTCGATAGTGTAGTCGACGACGCATGCCATTTCGCCGCGCAGCGTAAACCATGCTTACCGACTATCTGTGCCATTGTTGCTTCAGGTTTTTCCGGGCGGCGGTACTGGCCGAGCTGGGCCGCGACGGTAGGACGTGGGAGTGGCCGAAGCCTTCCGATGAAGAGGTTGAGGACAGGCTCGCCGACTGCGATGAACCCCTTCGAGATGTGAGTTCCGAACGATTTACCGTCCCATCGTGTGTCATCCTTGCTCGATGCTCATCCTTGCGCTCTGAACCGTTGAATGCAGAAAGTGCCCGACGTCGTCCAGGACGGGAACGCGGGCTCCGGCCTGCTAGCAATGAGCGCGTTGTGCTGGGTGGTGAGGAGGATAGATCTCCTGACCGGCGCCCTCCGTCGCAGTACGACCAGCATGGACAAGGTCAACGTTTCGGGGTTGAAGGGGCTGCAGAGTGCGATGATAACCTTCATCAAGGAGCACGTCGCTCTGAAACGGTCGGGCCATGTCGGAGTTGCTGCCGACGCCTGTGACAACGACAGCGAGGAGCCCCCGTCGGCATCCCAAGCAGTAGGTGTCGCCCACCCCGTCGATGATGCGCGTGGGACTTCGATCGGAGAGCCCGGCGGCGGCGTCGACAAGGCCGATGAGGAGGCAGGAAGGGCGGTGACTGGGACCGCGGAGAAGCACCAGGACGATAACGAGGATCAGGAAGAGGAAAACCAGGGTTTTCGTGAGGAGGAGGAGGAGGAGGAGGAGGAGGAGGAGGAGGAGGAGGAGGAGGAGGAGGAGAAGGAGGAGGAGGAGGACGAGGAGGAGGACGAGGAGGAGGACGAGGAGGAGGAGGAGGAGGAGAAGGAGGAGGAGGGGGGGGGCGCGGCGGAGGAGGAGCAAGAGGGGGAGCAGGAGGTAGAGGTCGAGTGGGAGGTCATGGAGGTGGAGTACGAGGGAGCAGCGGAAACGGGTGGGAGGTCGGCGGATGTTGTGAACGAAGGAGTGGAGGATGCCGACGAGCAGAAAGTCGGCATGGAGGCGGCTCATGGGGGGGGTGGGAGGTCGGCGGATGTTGTGAACGAGGGAGAAGAGGCTGTCGACGAGGAGAAAGTCGGCGTGGAGGCGGCGCACGGGGGGAGTGAGAAGGTCGTGGTCGGCGATGTGGATCCCCACGCGAAGGAAGTTGTCGACCTCGAGGCCGGTGGAGAAGGGGATACCGTCGCGGCCACGAAGTTGACGGGCATGGAAGGGCCTACCGAGGCCACCGCGGGGAAGGCCGTGGGGGAGCGGTCAAGGAAGAAGAAGGCGGCGCGCGGTCATCCCGGTTCCTCCGCATCTACTCGGCAGGCACCGCTGGACGTCGTCGAGCAGCTGCGACAAGAGAACAGGCGGTTGACGGCAGAAAATGCCCGTCTGGAGAAGGTGCTCGGAGAGGAGAAGGGTCAGGTGGACAGGTTTGCGTTGGGGGCACGTGCACTGATCGACAAGCTCAAGAAGTTGGCCGACCAGGTCGCCGTCTCCGACCAGAAGGCGGCGAGTCGGCTGCTAGACGCGACCTTGTCCATGTCGACAACCGTCACGGACAACATCACCGCCAACATGGGCGACGCATGGGAGGCGATGAAGCAATACGCCGTAAAGACGTCGAAGTGGTTGGACGAACTCGACGATCTGGAGGGGTTTATGGCAGTTGAACGTGCGAAGGCGGTCAACACCCTGGCCGACCACGTGGAAGCGGTGGTGGACGGTGCGAAGCTGGGTTTGGAGGACTACATCTCGAAGCACCTAGCCGCCGCGCAGACCAACATTGCCGCCGCGGTAACTCGCAACATCGCCGTGCCGCCGCCGCCCCCGCCGCAGCCCACGCCAGCCTTCCCGGACGAGCAGATGAAGTCGTTCAAGGCGGAAGTGTTGAAGGCGGTGACGGAGGCCACACAGCAGTCGTTTGTTGCGTCCGGGTTAAAGCTCATGACCGAGGTGATCGGCAATGTGGCGCCTGGTCGGCGTGGGTCGTCGCCGTCGGCCAATGACGCCGATCCCGCGGCGCGAAGGGAGGCCGACAAGCAGGGCCAGAAAAGGGCGGGCGGCGGAGAGGACGCGACGAGCGTGAAGCGGAGCAAGGGAGCCGATGGAAGCCGCGGCGTCGGCAAGGTGGGGCCAGGCGGCTCGCGGGCTGGAGGTCAGAGCGTGGTCGACCAGCTCAAGAAGAACGGGGCCAAGGTTTTAAGGTCGCACAGCAAGGGCGATGGAATCGGGAGTGCAGATGGGGGCCCTGCCGACGAGGTTGCCGCTCAAGACGCTGGACCAACATCCTCGCCCTTGGTCGCCGACAAGGAGATCCCACCCGCTCAAACGGCGAAAGATGGCGGCGCCAGAACCGTCAAGGGACCGTCTGTCGGGGTGGCGGGGACCACGTCGATTCCCCGTAAACCCCCTGCGGCTAGCAGCGCGCCTGTCGGCCCGTCCACCGCCAACAACAAGGGGCCGGCCCTTGCGGCTACTCCAGCTCCAGCAGGCCCGTCTACCGCCAAGGGCGACGCGAAGGATGCCACTAAGGAGCCCGCAGCGGCGAACGCGCTCAGGGAAATGCTCCACCGCATGGAGGCCCATCGCCGGGATGTGCAGCAGCCTCCCTTGGTCGACGCCGCCCCCGCCGAAACTGCACGTCCTTCGGTCACTCCGCATGTCACCGCCACAGCGTCCAGAGCCCCACCTACCGCGCCTCTGCTCGCCGGCCGTCCTCCAGCGGACCCAAAGTCCGCATTGCTTCGCACCCGGTTAGGCGCACGTAGTGCGGCAGCGCCAACACGGACTCAGCCGGAAGCCGTATCAAGCGCGACGCCGGCGTCGGTAAACGTGGCTGCACCCACATCCGGTGCAGCTGTTGTCGATGCGGCGGCGGAGAAGGGCGTGAGGGAAGCGCTAGCCACCGGCGGAGTCGTTGCCCCTGCACAGGCGCCGAAAGGCCACAACGACGCCGAAATCGCTGCCATACAGGACCTGTTGGAAGCGGTAAAACGCCCCGCCCCCCCCCCCCTGCTCTGGCCATCCCGGACACGGCGCATGTGGAGCCCTCGGCGAGTCTCCCCGGTGGTTCAGTGGAGCCAAAGACGACCACCGAGGCTGTCGGCGAGGGAAAGTCGAAACGAAAGGGGAAGGCCGACTCAGGGAAAGGGAGGGCGAGCTCACAGAGGAAAACACGGGCGACGTCGGCGACGAAGGAGAAGGCGGAGGAGAAATCGAAGGAGAAGTCGGCGGAGAAAGGGAAGGAGAAGGAGGAGGAGAATCATGAGGAGAAGTCGGTCGGCGAGGGTACGTCGGCGAAGAAAGGGAAGGAGAAGGCGGAGAAGGAGAAGGAGAAGGAGGAGAAGAAGGAGAAGGAGAAGGAGGAGAAGAAGGAGAAGGAGAAGGAGGAGAAGGAGAAAGGACGGAAGGGTCATGGCATCCGCCACGACAGCTCGGGCGACGGGCTAGGGTGGGTGGGCGAGATTAAGGTGCTCGGCGTGAATCGGTACATCAGCAAGTCGCGCGAGAAGATGGAGCTGGCGTACCTGCACTCGATTGCGTACATGGTCTACGGCGGTTACGTCAGCAAGATCCTCATGGACGAGCTCACCAACTTGGAGGAAACCAAGATGGAGAAGTGGAGGAACGTGTGGGAGGAGGTCAAGATCCTGCGGACAGGGATGTGGACGGTGATATGGGCACAGGGCGCGTACCTTCCAAAAACACGGTAAGTCGGCGTTGTGGTCGGCCGAGTGATGATGACTATGTCGGAGTCACTAATGGTCGCCCGGTTTTGTGTGATTGAGTGACAGGTTCGATGATATTCTCGGCAAGTATCGAGCGTACAAGAGCTCAGGAGATACGCACCACGACGCGCTCTTGCCGGCGATCTGGTCCCCGTCGTCGCCGACACGAAGGAAGGCCAGGAGAAGGCGGATGCTATGATGTCGGCCATGATTGCCCGCGTGTCCATGTGCGCTGCGTATGGGAAGGTCGCTGCGAGCGCGGCGAGGAAGGAGGGAGACACGGATGAGAAGACGGAGATGGCGGCACAAGCCTGGTCACCCTCCGCTTGCGCCGTGTGGTGCTTAGTCGAGAACGACGACGCCCAGGTGGTCGATGCTGTGGGCGAAGGGAAGGCGGCGGCGATGGTGGTCGGTGCGAGCGAGACGACCGCCGGTGTCTTCTTGAAGGTCATGCAGGCGGTGCTGGAGGTCGAGATCGACAGGGAGCAACCCCTCGGGAAGGTTGCGCACAACGTCGCGCCGGCGCTGCAGAGTCTCGCTCTGCAAAGGGCCTACCCGGGGGTGGAGGTTGAAGTCGAAGCCGACGTGATGGCTAGAGCGATGGTGGAGACCATGGCGTTCTGGGGAATGTGCCCCATCGCCGGGCCGAAACTGGAAGAGATCGGCATCGCGGTGCCGTGTGACGCGCAGATGGAGCACGATATTGAACACAGGGGGAGGAAGGGGCAGAGGGGCAAGCAGGGCAAGAACAGCACGGGGAAGAAGGGGAAGAAGGGCAGGAAGGGCAAGGACAGCACGGCGGCGTAGTCGGCTCGCGGAGCGAGCGCTAGGGTGTATAATCTTGTTGGTCTGGGCGGCGCGGATTGCGTAGTTCTTTTTTTGTTTTTGTTTGCTTATGTGGTTGTGCATGTAACTTTTTGGTAGTGCATGTAACTAGAACCCTTGTCGGTGATGTCGACCTGATCACTACCCACAGAATTGCACACTAACATGCTACCCGGCGATAAACCTTGTCGGCAGATATATCGGAGTCCGTCAACATCGTCGGCGATGTCGACCACATCACTACCCTCAGAACTGCGCACTCACATAATTGCCGGCGTATAGGTCGGAGTCCGTCAACACATCGGCGTCGTGCGGTGGCTGTCGACATTGAGGGTGTGGCTCTACGCAGGTATACTCGGGTTGGATCATATAGGTTAGCATGGGCCGTGTTATGTGCCTTAGGGTCGTGTTGTTTCACCAACTTCCCGAACAATAAAAGCAGTATGGTTTGTTTAAATCGACAACAATTAAAGCATCAGCAAGCTACGCAAACGCATATGCTCCAAAGGTCTTCATGCCGCCTTCTTGCGCTTCGTCGGAGGATGCTGCACAGGTGCGGTCTGCTTGGCCATGTCGGCCACGGTCTTCGGCCACTGCTCCTCCCAGGTGTCTGGAAACAGGTCGGCGACCCAAGTTCTCGGCTTCATGTTGAGCGCCACCAGCGCACAGGCGAGACGTAGCTTCGCGACCACCTTGGGGCCCAGCCCCTTGACTCCCGTGCCAGGCTTGGAGTACGTCGGTGCCGTTTCCGGTTTGAGCACCGTGAGGGCATCGCAGAAGGTCCCAATGCCCAGCGCCGCGATCTTATTCAGTGCAGCGACGACGGCTTCGGTGTCGGCATCACCGTCGCTCGAGCGAAGAAGGCGCACTGCATCCATGGCCTTCAGCATGCGGCGCACCTTCATATTGTGTGCTCCTTGTGTCATCGGCGGTGGTGGAGTTCCAGAGGCGCCAAGCGTCCCTCACGGTCGTTGCCTCCCGCCAGGGTTGCACCACGTTAAGCTCGTAACGAGCCTCGTCGACCGTCTGTGGGGGTTTCGAGGGTTTCTCATCCCGTTTCTTGGCTGGATCCCCCGTATTTGCCGAATCCGCGGAGCCACCCTCGCTCGGCGCTTGCTCGTTCGTTGACGGCGGCGCTGCCGGCATCCTCCGTGCCTCTGACACACGGAGTGCCTCGGTGAGACGGGTGAACTCGGGGGTCAGCGTCGCGATAGTATCGTCGCGCTTCTCGATCTCATCCTGAAGATCGATCTTCTCGACCGCGGAGCGCTCCCTCTCGTACTTCAGCGTCTCCTTGAGGGACATGTTATGGTACTCGGTGTCCATTCGGACAGAGATTTCCTGCAGTGGTAGGCGGGACGGCGAAAAGAGTTTAAAATTCACTCGTACGAGGTCGACGCCGACATCATCGACATCTCACCTCTGGCTGAATCAGGGTCGGGTCCCGGCGCTTGTTGATTGTTTCGGTGTCGACTGCCTCGTCCCTTTTCGCCCAGTGCTGAAAGAGGGCAATCCGGCAGAGTTTGGAACCTTGGACGTACGGGTGCCACGGTGTGCGGACGAGCTTCACCGCGAGGTCCTCGGCGACGATGCGGCGGAACATCAGGAGGGTACGCCAGAAGTGCACGGCGGCTTTGTCGGCGTCGCTCCCATTGACAGCACGCGTTTCCGCCTGCAAGTCGGCAAGTGACGTGGGTTAGTAGGGTCTTGGGTAGACACTTTCCGCCATGGCGACAAAATGACATTGTCGGCGTCGCATAACATACATCGCGCAGCAGAGCATCCACGCCAGGGAAGATGTGCTCGGCGATGATGTCCTTGAGCTTGTCGGAGGGTTCCACCCTGCTGCGCCCCAAGAAGTAGTCTTGCTTGCAGCCCGAGTAGCCGGCCTTCCTCATCACAACCCCCACAGGAATGGCTGTGATGTAAGCACTCGTCATCTTGTCGAGAGCCCAGTGTCCCAGCTCGGCGATCTCGGCGTGAGGCGTCCCGTCGATGGCTAGCTCCTGCGCACCTCAGGCGCGTGCGGCGTGCACGTTCCGCTTGCAGAACACTTTGTTGGTCGTCCACATCTGCCGCGTCCAACGTTGGTGGCTGGCGGCGGAGAGCTCGTCTTGCTCCTTGTAGTTGCAGGCGAAGAAGAGGTGCTTCTTGTACCAGCGTTCGCGTTCGGTGGTGTCAAGCGGCGGAAGGAAGTCGACGCCGGAGAACTGACCGATCTGGTCGAGGATGAAGTGCAACCACTGGCCGGTCTCGCCGACGGCGCACAACTCCGCTTCCAGGTGTCGCGTCGCATAGCTCTGCTGAAGACGGGCATCCTTGGAAGTCTTCGAGTTACGCGCGGCGACCACCATGACGACCGGCTGGTTCTCCGGGTTCACCGACGAGGAGCTCGCCAGTTGGTACAAGAAGATGTCGGGGAGGGTGATCTCGCGGATGCTGGCGCCGCGCAGGAGAGAGTGGTGCGAGAGTAGCGTGAGCACCTTGATGAGCCGGAATCTCCAGAACATTTGCGAAGGAGTGCTTTCCCGCGGGTTCCACGCCGCCGCCGCCCATGTCGGCGGCACCTTCATCATGATCTGGCGGAACTGTTCGGCGGTGTAGGTATCGCCGATGGTGCCGCGTCGACGGTCGGCACAATTCCTGCACACAAAGCCACTGTGTATTGTTAGTTGGTGCGGCGTCGACTTCAGCGTGACGAGGACTGAGGTTGGCGGTGTCGACCAACTTACTTGAGGTCCCTCTCGTTCTTGGTGCGGACGTTGAACCGCACCTCCGATCTGACCACCGAGATCTCCCGCATGATGCCCAGCTCCTTCTCCCGGTACAGCGTCGCCTCCACCCTCGCCGCCATCTGGCATGCCTTTATGCGCCCGAGGAGCGTGTGCACCGTTGTCGCTTGCACATGCGCGGTTTGCGTGGCATTGGTCCCCTCCTCGATCGGCTTAGAGAGGAGGTTACACTCACGGCTCATGTACTTCACGTAGGCGCGCAGCCGGGTTTCGGTGACCCTAGGGCCGTGCAGCCAGATGTACTTCCGGGGGACCTCGACCTCGTTGTCCCAATCCTTCTTCTTGTTTGCGCGGATGTAGTGGCCAATCTCGTCGTCGTGCCTAAGTCGGTGCTCCTGGGGAAGCTTGTCGCGTATTTGCTTCAGCATCTTCGCCGCCCACCTCTTGTAGTGGTAGATCCACGAGGTGTACAGCCTTAGCGTACTCTTTTTCTCCAAGGTTTGTAGGTGGCGTAGGGCATCCATGACGAGCACGTCGACGCACGCGTAAACCATGTCGTCCACTACGAAGTCTGCCGCCCTCCACTGCTCGCGTGGCATCGCCATGTCCTGCTCGTCCTCCTTCTCGTCCTGTTCGAGCATGTCATCTATGTATTCAAACTCCCGCCTGAGGCGTTCTTCCAAGGTGCGCGGATTCGTGCTACGCGGAGGACGCTCGTCGTATTCGTCGTCGCTCTCTTCGTCGTCGTCGTCATCACCCTGGTTTTCAGCGTCGGGCGGCACCGACGAAGGTCCACGCTGTCCATCTTGCGTCGGGGTCGACTTGCTCGTAAACTCCCCTATCGGCGGTGGGGGAATGTCCTTGGTGAACTCCCCTTCTGGAATCTGAGTCAGTGCGTCAAGACCGTATAGCAACTTCAGCGTCTCTTCCGGGGTAGAGGTCGGATTGTTGCCGGTTGGGGGACCAACGTCGGACATGTCGACGTCGGCCATGTGGCCGCCCGTTGGTTGCTCTACCATGGTCCCTGTGCGAGGTAAAGGTTGGACCACCATAGACGGTACTGAGTCACTGGAGCTGTGTACGCCCTGCGGGTCGCGCGGGCGTCAAGCTCGAATTCCCTCTCAAGTGCTTCTACCTCAGCGGCGATCTCTGCACGTTCCAGCTGTGATTTGATGTCGGCGTCTACTGTATCGGCGGGAGGTGGGATGGGTTGCGGCTGTTGGGCACTAGGCCGTCCTCTGGCCATGCGTCGTCGTCTCAGTAAGGTGGTGTTGGGCCGTCTTGGTCGGTCGGTAGATCTATTCGAACCCTACGGCGACGTCGACGACCGGTCGTCGAGTTCAACACCGACCTGGTACGTCTCTGCCAGGTCGACGCGCACTGTGCCAACGAGACCGTGAAGTCGGCGCTCGAGTAACCTAGACACGTGAAGAAAGTGAGGGTGGCGAGAATTCTAAGTGCCAGAGAGCGCACGCAATACGAGGGAAGGAACACAAACAGACAGGCAGAATGTGGACCTTGCGCATGGTCAAGGAGGAGTATGGTTGCGAGCGACTCCGCACCTGCCGCGCTCCACGCAACCCTCTTTGCGTGCGCCGCTATGCATGTGTCTGACGTGCCAACGTCAGTGCATGTCTAGTTTCACGCCGCTCTGCACTCAAAGAGCCCCCCGCCGGGGCCATTCCACGGTGGATTGCGCGAGAGCCACGTGGCCTAGACCAATCACTTGTTCAACTCTCCAGAAATGCCGTAGCGGCCGGCTTTCCCGCGCATCCGTTATCGACATGTGCAGTCCCGCGTGTCATCCCGTTGGTCGACGCCGACATTCACAGGGTGTTGGATTCGCCTCACCTAGCCATCTTAGGGACCGATCGGATTACGCCGCGTGGACGTGAAGCTGCGGTTGGATCTGTAGGCGACACCGACATTCCTAAACGCGGCGGGAAATTGGTTCCCGCGATCTTTGGCTCCCTAGGTGCTCGACACCTGTACATGCACTAGCTAGTCGGATTTCGCCGCGTGGACGTCGCCGACATTTTTTTAATCGGCGGGAGGTGTTTGTCAGAATCCCAGTCACTAGACCACTGGGATAAAAGGGCTTGTTAAGTAGCGGGTCAGTGCGCCCATAACCCCCCAGGACAACGAGCCTGTAACCCTTCCCTAGGATCGATCGGGGATCTCACAGTGCAGCTCTACTGACACCCCCCCACACTGGGAGGCCCAGGACTGAGCACAGTGGCAACGGCCTACATGTGCATACACCGGGATTCGAACCCGAGACCGCTCTGATACCATGTCAGAATCCCAGTCACTAGACCACTGGGATAAAAGGGCTTGTTAAGTAGCGGGTCAGTGCGCCCATAACCCCCCAGGACAACGAGCCTGTAACCCTTCCCTAGGATCGATCGGGGATCTCACAGTGCAGCTCTACTGACAGTGTTCCCGCGCAAGAAATGTTGACCCGTGGTGCGACGCGTGGCCACGTCGTGGCTGTCGTGGCACCCCGCGATTAAAAGGGACGATCGTGATCGTCCCTACTAGGCCGCGTGGCAGTAATCGCGGCTCGACGCTTGACGTGTCGAGCTGCTGTTTTTTGTCCGCTGAGATATCCTTCTCGGGTTTTTCTCAGCGAAATCCGAGGTCGTCAGGTTGTCGACAATCCCGAGGCCTCCTTTGGCCGGGAGGACTGCCAGCTCGCCCCAGTTTGCCACTCGGAGGTCGTCGGGGGTTCGTCACGCCCGAGGGGGTCCGTTGTCCTATCGCAACCGCGAAATCGGGCGGCGTTTTCCGTTGGCTGAGGTATATCATCCCAACCCCAGCATGGCCACCTAATTCAAAAATCGACCCCTCTGGATTCACACACCGCGTTTTGGAATTTGTAATTCCGTGAGTTGTGCGAAATCCCGTGTAAGAAAACTTCAGGAGGTTTTCAAATATCTGAACCACCTGTCGTTTCTGGCGTTTTGATTTGGGAAATTATATGGGCAGTCACAATTAAGCCCGGTTTATCACGTTTGGTCACAGGGGTATCACGAACAGTCACAGTACAGTAGACTTCTATCTCGGGTGATCACAGTGCTATCACGGATGGTCACACCTCGCCCAGAAAAGCTAGCACGTTCGGTCACTCATTGAAACGGTCGATAGAAAGTTCAAACTACTTAAGTCACTGTAGGGATTCAGGAAAAGTTCTCTCGCGCGCACCGTTTTGTCCGTAGTATTACGAAATAGTTTCGCGACAACTCTCGGTAACTCGTTAAAAACATCTGCAAATTCTTGTTACTATTCGATTGTCCACTGTTCGAATGATGCATAATGTCCCTAAGAATATCACTTTTAGACGGGTGAAACTCGAAGGGCAATTTCTGTTTCCAAGACAAAAAAAACTAAAACCCATTCGGATGGGATTTAATTCGGGATGCATCAACCCTAAACACCTTGTCGCATGGTGTTTAGGGTTGATGCCTCCCGAAGGACGTGCCATCCTATAGGGGTTTATTTTTTTCCTTCAGTCCACTAAATGTCAGGCTAGAATCATGCGCGAGGTAACAAGCAATCAAGATTGGGATTCCCCAAAATCTCTACAGTTTCCTTTGTGGTTTCAAATTAGTTATTATCGTTTCATCGAGCTTTTAGAGGCGAGGTGTGACCATCCGTGATAGCACTGTGATCACCCGCGATAGAAATCTACTGTACTGTGACTGTTCGTGACACCCGTGTGACCAAACGTGATAAAACGGGCTTAATTGTGACTGCCCGTATAATCTCCCTTTTGATTTTTGTAAACACGGACCCGAAGGTCCTGTCAAGAATCAGCTGGTCTAGGGCTCACTGTAGAAGAAAAGAAATTCGCTCGTTTTTAGGATTTCGTTCGCAGAAAGTGCCTCGGAACCCGAGTAGAACAAGGCACGTACGTGCGATTGTGGCGTATCTAGAAGCCCCCAAAGCCGTGGTAGTTGATCCGCTTGCATGATTCCTGAAATTTCGGTAGTTGATCCCTCTCTAGCGGCGGCCGCTGTGAGTTGATCGTCAAACACGGAGGCACGGCGGCAGCGTCCGCTCCCCTTAGACGTCCTGAAGTTACCGCAGCGGCCACTGTAATTTTACCGCTAATCGCGGCGCCGCTCTGAGTTAACTGTAACACGCGGAGGCGGCGGGCGCCATGGATGCGATTTCGTCGTGTCATCGATGTGGCCGATTAGGTCATCTATCCAGGGACTGTAACATCAAGACGTGCTTCAAATGCAACGGGTGCGTACAAGTTTATAACGAATATTGTGACATCCTATTCCCCCACCGCATCCCTCTTTCTACGTCTCCCACTCTCTTGTCATCGCCTCTCTTTCGTCGCTTCGATGTGTCTCCGTTTTTTCGCATTCTCTGCACCCTCCCTCTCTCATCCTCTCATACCCCCTCTCCCCTCTCATCCCCGCTCTCACCCCTTCTCCATCTCCCTCCGTCTCATCCTTCTCTCATACCCTCACTCATTCCCACTCTCATTCCCTGCTCATCCCGATCCCCAATCACAATCGAGCTCCCATCCTCCCTATCTCATCCCAAATTACGTTCCCGCTCTCACTCCCTATCTCCTCCCCTTTCTCGCATTCCCTTTCTCATCACTCACCTCCGTATCCCTGAATTCGCACCTCCCTTTCCCCCCCCCCCCCCCCCCCCCGTTTCTGCACGCTCTTCTGTTGTGCACCTTTTTTTCTTTCACATTTCATCATGCACGTGGGTTGGGGAAGTAGCCGGGGGTACATGGCATGGGAAGGCACACGTTTAATGACGACCAATCAACCCTTCCTTTCTCTCATCCCTCTCTGCTGCAACTTTTCTCCACTCCCTCTCTTTTTGTGCACCTCTTGCCGTGCACGTGGGTGGGGGGAGTAGCCGGGGGCACATGGCGTGGGAATGCACAGCAGGCGTCACCTGCAGCATCTGCGGGCAGACGGGCCACCTTCAACGCAACTGCCGCAACGTCTCCTGCCACAAGTACGTGCAGTACTGCTGAGTACCCCATGCATATGCAGCACGAGGTAGCTTGTAACCTGACTCAAAAGGCACGTGCACCATTTGCAGCACCTGCAGCATCTGCGGCCAGACGGGTCATCTGCAGCGCAACTGCCGCAACGTCTCCTGCCACAAGTACATGCAGCAGTATCTTCTGGGATTAGGGTTTCGGGTTTAGCTGGTATTTAAGGCACCTGCAGCACATGCGGCCAGACGGGCCATCTGCAACCCCATGCCACAACGTTTCCTGCCACAAGTGGGTGCCCTTATTCCGTTTAGGGTTGAAGGTTTAGCTGGTGATTAAGGCACCATCAGCATTTGCTCCACCTGCAGCACCTGCGGCCAGACGGGCCATCTGCAGCGCAACTGCCGCAACGCCTCCTGCCACAAGTATGTGCTCTATTCCTCGAGTTTAGGGTTTATGACTTAGCTTTTTAGTAAGGCACCTTCAGCATATGCGTCACCTTCAGCATCTGTGGCCAGACGGGTCATCTCCAACGCAGCTTCCACATTGTCTCCTGCCACATGTACGTCTGCTGCCCTTCTTGACTCAAAAGGCAGGTGCAGCAATTGCAGCACCTTCAGCATTTGCAGCACCTTCAGCATTTGCAGCACCTTCAGCATTTGCAGCACCTGCAGCATCTGCAGCCGGACGGGCCATCTGCATCGCAACTGCCGCAACGTCTCCTGCCACAAGTACGTGCAGTATCCCCTGGGTTCAGGGTTTAGGGTACCGATAATCAAGGCACCTACAGCATTTGCAGCACCTGCCAACCCTGCTCCCCTCCCACGCCCACCCCTCCCAACCCAATCCCCTGTGCTGGTTACTCCCTCCACATTAGGTGTGGTCGCAAGGGCCATATCTCCAAATTCTGCAACGACCCATTTGCCCAGGATGACGCTTGGTCTGATCGTGCACCAAAGTATCGTCCCCCACCCCCACCCCTGCCCGCTGCCGCCCCTACACCCCTTTATCCACCTCCCCATGTTGTCCCTCACATCCCACCAGGTGCGGGCGCAAGGGCCATATTTCCAAATTCTGCAGCGACCCATTTGCCAGGGTGAGTCAGAGATTTCCAGGTAAGAGTAAGGCACAGGGCGAGCTTGAACAGGGTAAGACAGGGAACATGTATTTTTTCACATGACCGATTTTACACGGGTGCCTGTTGTTTTTTGTTTTGTTTTGTTTTGTTTTTTTTTTTTCTGTGCACGCTCGGAGGAAGTACAACAAGAAGGATGCATGCAGTGATGCTTTGGCATACACTTCGTTTTTTTCTGATAACAAGACCGCACACAGTGATGCAATGCCGTGCCCTTCTTTGCTCCACTCCTCTTTCTGATGCTCACTCTGCAGTTGGTTGGGACATCTTGAATATTGATATTGAGATGTTTTCATCTGATGGCCATCACAAAGTTATGTGGTGTCCTCTTAGCGGTACCTCATACTTACAGGCAGCAGAAGCTGAGCTGAGCGCATGGAGAGGCAGCAAACAATCATGTCTGCAAGGGCAGCCCAGACTCAGAGACACGTGGCCCGACGATCCGTCATCCATGCCACGCCGAATGCACCTGGTAAGTTGCCTTTGATTCAACTGTGAGTCAATGTAGTGATGAGTCAACTGTGAGTCAAGCAAACAATCATGTCTGCAAGGGCAGCCCAGACTCAGAGACACGTGGCCCGGCGATCCGTCATCCATGCCACGCCGAATGCACCTGGTAAGTTGCCTTTGATTCAACTGTGAGTCAATGTAGTGATGAGTCAACTGTGAGTCAAGCAAACAATCATGTCTGCAAGGGCAGCCCAGACTCAGAGACACGTGGCCCGGCGATCCGTCATCCATGCCACGCCGAATGCACCTGGTAAGTTGCCTTTGATTCAACTGTGAGTCAATGTAGTGATGAGTCAACTGTGAGTCAAGCAAACAATCATGTCTGCAAGGGCAGCCCAGACTCAGAGACACGTGGCCCGGCGATCCGTCATCCATGCCACGCCGAATGCACCTGGTAAGTTGCCTTTGATTCAACTGTGAGTCAATGTAGTGATGAGTCAACTGTGAGTCAAGCAAACAATCATGTCTGCAAGGGCAGCCCAGACTCAGAGACACGTGGCCCGGCGATCCGTCATCCATGCCACGCCGAATGCACCTGGTAAGTTGCCTTTGATTCAACTGTGAGTCAATGTAGTGATGAGTCAACTGTGAGTCAAGCAAACAATCATGTCTGCAAGGGCAGCCCAGACTCAGAGACACGTGGCCCGGCGATCCGTCATCCATGCCACGCCGAATGCACCTGGTAAGTTGCCTTTGATTCAACTGTGAGTCAATGTAGTGATGAGTCAACTGTGAGTCAAGCAAACAATCATGTCTGCAAGGGCAGCCCAGACTCAGAGACACGTGGCCCGGCGATCCGTCATCCATGCCACGCCGAATGCACCTGGTAAGTTGCCTTTGATTCAACTGTGAGTCAATGTAGTGATGAGTCAACTGTGAGTCAAGCAAACAATCATGTCTGCAAGGGCAGCCCAGACTCAGAGACACGTGGCCCGGCGATCCGTCATCCATGCCACGCCGAATGCACCTGGTAAGTTGCCTTTGATTCAACTGTGAGTCAATGTAGTGATGAGTCAACTGTGAGTCAAGCAAACAATCATGTCTGCAAGGGCAGCCCAGACTCAGAGACACGTGGCCCGGCGATCCGTCATCCATGCCACGCCGAATGCACCTGGTAAGTTGCCTTTGATTCAACTGTGAGTCAATGTAGTGATGAGTCAACTGTGAGTCAAGCAAACAATCATGTCTGCAAGGGCAGCCCAGACTCAGAGACACGTGGCCCGGCGATCCGTCATCCATGCCACGCCGAATGCACCTGGTAAGTTGCCTTTGATTCAACTGTGAGTCAATGTAGTGATGAGTCAACTGTGAGTCAAGCAAACAATCATGTCTGCAAGGGCAGCCCAGACTCAGAGACACGTGGCCCGGCGATCCGTCATCCATGCCACGCCGAATGCACCTGGTAAGTTGCCTTTGATTCAACTGTGAGTCAATGTAGTGATGAGTCAACTGTGAGTCAAGCAAACAATCATGTCTGCAAGGGCAGCCCAGACTCAGAGACACGTGGCCCGGCGATCCGTCATCCATGCCACGCCGAATGCACCTGGTAAGTTGCCTTTGATTCAACTGTGAGTCAATGTAGTGATGAGTCAACTGTGAGTCAAGCAAACAATCATGTCTGCAAGGGCAGCCCAGACTCAGAGACACGTGGCCCGGCGATCCGTCATCCATGCCACGCCGAATGCACCTGGTAAGTTGCCTTTGATTCAACTGTGAGTCAATGTAGTGATGAGTCAACTGTGAGTCAAGCAAACAATCATGTCTGCAAGGGCAGCCCAGACTCAGAGACACGTGGCCCGGCGATCCGTCATCCATGCCACGCCGAATGCACCTGGTAAGTTGCCTTTGATTCAACTGTGAGTCAATGTAGTGATGAGTCAACTGTGAGTCAAGCAAACAATCATGTCTGCAAGGGCAGCCCAGACTCAGAGACACGTGGCCCGGCGATCCGTCATCCATGCCACGCCGAATGCACCTGGTAAGTTGCCTTTGATTCAACTGTGAGTCAATGTAGTGATGAGTCAACTGTGAGTCAAGCAAACAATCATGTCTGCAAGGGCAGCCCAGACTCAGAGACACGTGGCCCGGCGATCCGTCATCCATGCCACGCCGAATGCACCTGGTAAGTTGCCTTTGATTCAACTGTGAGTCAATGTAGTGATGAGTCAACTGTGAGTCAAGCAAACAATCATGTCTGCAAGGGCAGCCCAGACTCAGAGACACGTGGCCCGGCGATCCGTCATCCATGCCACGCCGAATGCACCTGGTAAGTTGCCTTTGATTCAACTGTGAGTCAATGTAGTGATGAGTCAACTGTGAGTCAAGCAAACAATCATGTCTGCAAGGGCAGCCCAGACTCAGAGACACGTGGCCCGGCGATCCGTCATCCATGCCACGCCGAATGCACCTGGTAAGTTGCCTTTGATTCAACTGTGAGTCAATGTAGTGATGAGTCAACTGTGAGTCAAGCAAACAATCATGTCTGCAAGGGCAGCCCAGACTCAGAGACACGTGGCCCGGCGATCCGTCATCCATGCCACGCCGAATGCACCTGGTAAGTTGCCTTTGATTCAACTGTGAGTCAATGTAGTGATGAGTCAACTGTGAGTCAAGCAAACAATCATGTCTGCAAGGGCAGCCCAGACTCAGAGACACGTGGCCCGGCGATCCGTCATCCATGCCACGCCGAATGCACCTGGTAAGTTGCCTTTGATTCAACTGTGAGTCAATGTAGTGATGAGTCAACTGTGAGTCAAGCAAACAATCATGTCTGCAAGGGCAGCCCAGACTCAGAGACACGTGGCCCGGCGATCCGTCATCCATGCCACGCCGAATGCACCTGGTAAGTTGCCTTTGATTCAACTGTGAGTCAATGTAGTGATGAGTCAACTGTGAGTCAAGCAAACAATCATGTCTGCAAGGGCAGCCCAGACTCAGAGACACGTGGCCCGGCGATCCGTCATCCATGCCACGCCGAATGCACCTGGTAAGTTGCCTTTGATTCAACTGTGAGTCAATGTAGTGATGAGTCAACTGTGAGTCAAGCAAACAATCATGTCTGCAAGGGCAGCCCAGACTCAGAGACACGTGGCCCGGCGATCCGTCATCCATGCCACGCCGAATGCACCTGGTAAGTTGCCTTTGATTCAACTGTGAGTCAATGTAGTGATGAGTCAACTGTGAGTCAAGCAAACAATCATGTCTGCAAGGGCAGCCCAGACTCAGAGACACGTGGCCCGGCGATCCGTCATCCATGCCACGCCGAATGCACCTGGTAAGTTGCCTTTGATTCAACTGTGAGTCAATGTAGTGATGAGTCAACTGTGAGTCAAGCAAACAATCATGTCTGCAAGGGCAGCCCAGACTCAGAGACACGTGGCCCGGCGATCCGTCATCCATGCCACGCCGAATGCACCTGGTAAGTTGCCTTTGATTCAACTGTGAGTCAATGTAGTGATGAGTCAACTGTGAGTCAAGCAAACAATCATGTCTGCAAGGGCAGCCCAGACTCAGAGACACGTGGCCCGGCGATCCGTCATCCATGCCACGCCGAATGCACCTGGTAAGTTGCCTTTGATTCAACTGTGAGTCAATGTAGTGATGAGTCAACTGTGAGTCAAGCAAACAATCATGTCTGCAAGGGCAGCCCAGACTCAGAGACACGTGGCCCGGCGATCCGTCATCCATGCCACGCCGAATGCACCTGGTAAGTTGCCTTTGATTCAACTGTGAGTCAATGTAGTGATGAGTCAACTGTGAGTCAAGCAAACAATCATGTCTGCAAGGGCAGCCCAGACTCAGAGACACGTGGCCCGGCGATCCGTCATCCATGCCACGCCGAATGCACCTGGTAAGTTGCCTTTGATTCAACTGTGAGTCAATGTAGTGATGAGTCAACTGTGAGTCAAGCAAACAATCATGTCTGCAAGGGCAGCCCAGACTCAGAGACACGTGGCCCGGCGATCCGTCATCCATGCCACGCCGAATGCACCTGGTAAGTTGCCTTTGATTCAACTGTGAGTCAATGTAGTGATGAGTCAACTGTGAGTCAAGCAAACAATCATGTCTGCAAGGGCAGCCCAGACTCAGAGACACGTGGCCCGGCGATCCGTCATCCATGCCACGCCGAATGCACCTGGTAAGTTGCCTTTGATTCAACTGTGAGTCAATGTAGTGATGAGTCAACTGTGAGTCAAGCAAACAATCATGTCTGCAAGGGCAGCCCAGACTCAGAGACACGTGGCCCGGCGATCCGTCATCCATGCCACGCCGAATGCACCTGGTAAGTTGCCTTTGATTCAACTGTGAGTCAATGTAGTGATGAGTCAACTGTGAGTCAAGCAAACAATCATGTCTGCAAGGGCAGCCCAGACTCAGAGACACGTGGCCCGGCGATCCGTCATCCATGCCACGCCGAATGCACCTGGTAAGTTGCCTTTGATTCAACTGTG